TGTGACCAAAGGATACGACCCTGGACCAAGTGCCGTCACAATAGTTAATTTTCACACAATCAAATATGGTATTGAAAATATTTATAACAAAAATATCATACATTGAAACGACATTAAGAGACTTTTTTTTCACTTTTTTTATCATTTCACTCCAAGCATGACAGGAAAACCGGTAAGGTGCAGGGATTATTAAATGTGAGAGAATAGGAAAAAAAATTATTGAGAGAGATAAAGAATATGAATTAAAAAATAGAAGATAACGATTGGCATTGCGTTTACACATTTGAACATCAAAGCTGGCTGGAAAATAAGAAGCCGGACAGTATTCCACAAGCGAGAAGTGCGAGAAAAGAAAATGTTAGCAATGAACTTATGGTTACATCTAGCAGCCATTTCAGCTGTAAAAAGATGAGACCTTACCGCCAATCTAGTCCTGCGCTTAAATTCGTGTATTTAGGGACCATAGAGAGAAGTTGATCAGAACAACAACCATGAAATTATCTATAGAAAAGGCACAGAAATTGTAGGTTACAGCTGAAGGTAAGTGAGTAAGCCGAGATGCCAATAACAGATTTTTCTTTGGATTTTATGAAACGGCAAATCTTTTAAAGATTTCTTTTTTGTAGCTGTGCATAATACGGGCCCCTAATTTTGCTTATTATTATTTTGAAAAAAAAAATGCGTATTATACCTGGAGAATTATTGTAACTTCGGTGCTCGTACGGGTTTTTCAAATGAATGATAGTGAGACAAAAGTTGATTAAAGCTACAGCGGACAGGAAGTTATGGAGTATCGTGATCTCCAAAATTTTGTAGGGATATAGCTTAAAAAATATGTGAATAAAATCTCAAGAATACTGTTACAAAAGTTGAAATATTGTATGAAAATTTCTTTTCGAAAGAGAAAAGTGAATGGGGAATAAATGGATTGTTTCCAATTGGGAATATTTTCATTGAGGTATTATTTGATTTTATCAAATTTAGATAATTAAACAAATTCAGCAAGAGATATTTACTCATTGAAAAATAAATATTTTATTGAAATTATTCGCTTTGAAAACATATCGTTGAAAAAAGTTTGTATTTTAATGAATTGCTTTCATTTTTAATCATTTCAACCAATGCAAAGTAATAAAGTAAATACTGAATGTTGGTTGATATTCTAAAATATAGTACTAAGTAGAGAAGACAATAAAAAAACAATTAAGAAGATAAAAGATAAAAATTAACATTTCAACTGTAAAATGATGAGACCTTGCCGCCAATCTTGTACTGTGCTTAAATTCATAAATCTAAGTACCATAGACAAAAGTTCATTAGAACAATTATCCTGAAAATATTTATAGAAAAGGCACAGAAATGCTACATTACGAAGGTGGGAAAGTAATTGAAGTCGAGATGCCAGGTCAGTGAATGAAAATGTAAATAATTAGCAGAATTATAGATGAGATAATATCATAACTTCTTGCGAGGAAAGCCACTGGTATCTTATTGACAGATAGAAAAACATTATATATATATATTCTTGCTAGGTAAGTCAATGGAATCTTATTGACAGACCGAAAAAGATCATATCATACCTTCTTGCGAGAAAATTCACTTCAATCTTATTGAGAGAAAAAAGATCATATCATATCTTCATGTGAGGAAAGTCATTGGAATCTTATTGACAGAGAGAAAAAGAACATATCATATCTTCTTGCGAGAAAAGTCATTGAAATTTTATTGACAGACAGAGAAACATCATATACATTCTTGCAAGGGAAGTCATTGGAATCTTATTGAGAGACAGATCATATATCCTCTTGCTAGCGAAGTCACTGTAATCTTATTGACAATAGAAAATATATCTTCTTGCGATTGGACTCTCATTGACAAGTTTAATTTGACACTCCTTTTCAACACTGACCTATATGAAGTGTATTAAAAGTGTTCTCCAACACAAAATTTACACATTTTCATACATCATATTACCAATATTTTTGGATGAAAATAGGAATCTGATGAATTAAGACCAAAGTCTCGGTCCTAAGGAAATAATGAATAATCCCATGAACCCTTAAATTTCTCTGTTTCTTAATATATATATATATATATATATATATATATATATATATATATATATAAAATTTAAAAATGTATACAAGAAATAAACAAATATGTATATATAAAATACTGAAATATATAGAATGATATTATATATATATAAAATATCATTTTTATATATTTTATATATTTATATATATATATATATATATATATATATATATATATATATATATATATATATGTTGTGGTAGGATCCACCTAATTTTGCATAGTGGGAGTACCGACCATATAAATATGGTTGGTACCGGAAAGAGAGGAAGGAATCAAGAGATTCAACCAGAGACTCTGCCCGACTGCGACTCAGTCAACACATTCTCAAGGAACGGTCTTACCAGGAATATACAAAAGACTATATATGTAAATATTGTGTACACTTTCTTGTTTCAATACATTTTGTTCTTAGTACATTTTGTGTTACATTATTATTCCATGCATTAGTCAAGTTTCAAATTATGTATATATATATATATATATATATATATATATATATATATATATATATATATATATATTTCGATAAACGTGCAATCAATTTACAAATTCATGAATTATTCACACAAAAACAAATGCAAAGGTCAATGATTTAATTGGCGAGAAATCCATCGTCGCAAACAATTCAAATAATATGCAGAAACCTCCGAATCCGTTATGAATGAAAAGATCCTTGTTTCTATAAATTTCTGCCGCATTAGTTCTTATTTTTACTACAAGCTTTCGTCTGTTCCTACAGACATCTTCAGGTATGGAATTCATAACGGATTCGGAGGTTTTTGTATATTATTTGAATTGTTTGCGACGATGGATTTCTCGCCAGTTAAATCATTAACCTTTGCATTTGTTTTGTGTGAATAATTCATGAATATATATATATATATATATATATATATATATATATATATTTATATATGTATTTTAAAAGCAATATGTGTGGGTGGGTATCAGTCAGAGAGAGTGAATGAGTGATTGGATGTGTGTTTGCGAATTATGCTATTCTTATTATTGTGTTCATTTTTTATTCATTCGCGCAACAGACCACACGTGTATTTGTCCAGTGAAACACCATTCTAGTTAGAGGGCAGCAGTATGTGTGGCCCACTTATTAAGCGAAACATATTAAATTTCTAAGCGTTTGCTCTTTGTTCCTTACCTAAACATTCTCTCAGATTCTGATCCATTTTTCTTCTATAGTTAATCCCAATTCGCGCGCGCACAAACACACACACACACACACACGTAATATATTACCTTTACAATTACGTTTAAACGTAGATAGATCTACCGATATACAAGGTGATTCCAGAATCCCAGCTTGTAGCACCATTGGTATGTGCTTGTAAAACATAACTCTGATTGATCAAAGCCTTTTGAGACCGTCGATCGTTGTGCTGGCATAAAGTCGCAAGTCATCATGATATATCATGTTCAACTTGTTGACCCGCCACCTATGTACTGTCTCTCCCCCCGAAATTGTGACTAAGACCTGCACACCATTGTTACAGCATAAATCGCAGTTGGGCTCGGTGGGTGATGCACAAATAGAAAAAAATGTATTAGCGCCTCTATGCAAAATTGATTCGCTCGCCGATATAGCAATGGTCATGTTCGGTCATGTTCGGAAACGAGTAGCCAATCACAATAATAATATTTATATAGGGTGACCCAAAAAAACGGGAACTTTTTAACAATCCAATAAAATCAAGAGTGATGGAAGAAAAATATTTTATTCATAGTAATTGAAACCTTAAAATATGCCATTTAAGAAACAATAATGGAATTTTCATTTTTTTTTTAATTACGTCCTGTAGATGGCGTCCTCCTGTACGAATACATTCTTGAAAACTGCTGTTGAGATTCCTCATTGACTGCTGCAACATCTCAGCTGGGATACTGTGAATTCATAATGGCGAAATGTTTACTGGCTCAAGGTCACTGTCTCGCAGTGTTGACACTTGCTCAAGTCTGGCAAAACGCACTTAAAATATTCCCTTTTTTTTGGTCAGCCTCTATATGTAGTTTATTTTAGCAGATATAGGTATTTATTGCTGCATATTTGTCTCAGTTTTCCTAAAGTATTTTCTCTAATTGTATCGACCACTTCAGCTAGTCCACTGTAATTTTTTTATCTTTTTGCATTATCGACAATTATGGAATAAACAAGAGGCAGCCGTTCATATGAAATAATGATGTTGTTACCGATTTTGTTGATAGAAGAACTTCAAGCTCAATAGCTAATTAGCGTACGATTTCACTTGTAGCATATGCCTGACTTATGAGCTATTAATGAGCGTAGGTTTCGAAATCGAGTTACAGATTGGGGATATGGATATGCGTATGGATCAATAACATTAAAATGATCCAGGCAATCGATTCCTGCTCCGTGAAAAGCCGTTCTGGGCGAACCAAAACCAAGAATCTATTCTTTTTAGTGATTCTCCTTTCTCATTGAAATAAGAACATGAAATGAAAGAAGAGACACTGAAGTGGCGAACAGATGGGTAGGTTAAAAAGCCGTGCGGGAAAACAGAATGGAGAAATGAACGGAATAGAAAGAAAGAGGAGAAGAAATGAAATGAATAAAAGGTGTCAAAAGGTTTAGAAAAGAGGGAGAAGTTAGTGAACTACTAGGAAGTTAGTTTTGAAGAATTTTTTTTTGAAGGAATTGGGATTAAAAAGAAATAAAGTCCCAAACAAAAAAAAGAAACAAACAAACAAATATAAATTAAAATCATTTTTTAGGTATTATAAAACAATAGCAATGAAAAAACTGGATTTTAATTTACAAAAATCATAAAAAGAAAGAAAGAAAAAAGAACGAACGAAATGTAAGTAAATAAATACATAATAAATGTAATAGTTATTGTTTAAAAATATTAATGAGAAAATGGATCATACTACACAAAATAATACAAAGAATACTTAAAAAGAGGAGAAGGAAATGAAAGAAAGAAACAAACAAACAAACAAAAAAGATAGAATAAAAGAAAAAAAAAAAAAAAATGAATCAAGCAAACATGAAAGAAAGAAAGCAAATAATGAAGATTGATAAAAGAAAGAAGAAAAAATATGATGATTAAGCATAATAGAAAGACAGACAGAAAGAAAAAAAGGAAGAAAGAATAAATGAGAAATAAAGACAAAAGATAAATAATAAATTTATTGTTTAAAAATATTACTGACAATAGGGATCGAACTACAGGAAATAATGCAAAGTTGATGGAAAAATGAAAAGAAAGAAAGACTTAAAGAAAAAAAGTCAAAATGTAACAAAAAAGACCGAAAAATTAATCAACCATGAAAGAAAGAAAGAAAGAAAGAAAGAAAGAAAGAAAGAATGAAGGAAAGAAAGAAAGAAAGATGGAGTAAAGAAAAGAAAGAAAGAAAGAAAGAAAGAAAGAAAGAAAGAAACAAAGAAAGAAGGATAGAAAGATGGAGTAAAGAAAATAAAGAAAGAAAGAAAGAAACAAAGAAAGAAAGATAGAAAGATGGAGTAAAGAAAATAAAGAAAAAAAGAAAGAAAGAAAGAAAGAAACATGGAGTAAAAAATAAAGAAAGAGAGAAAAAAAGAAAGCGAGAAAGAAAGAAAGAAAGATGGAGTAAAGAAAATAAAGAAAGAGAGAAAGAAAGAAAGCGAGAGAGAAAGAAAGAAAGATGGAGTAAAGAAAATAAAGAATGAAAGAAAGAAAAAAGAAAGAAAGAAAGAAAAAGAAAGAAAGAAAGAAAGGAAGGAAGATGGAGTAAAATAAAAAAGAAAGAAAGATGGAGTAAAGAAAATAAAGAAAGAGAGAAAGAAAGAAAGCGAGAAAGAAAAGTTTTGAAATACATTGTAAATATCTTGAGGAAGTTTAAAAATCAATGAAACTTGACTAAGAAATGAAGGAAGAAAAGAAAGAAAGAAATGAAGGAAGAAAAGAAAGAAAGAAATGAAAGAAGAAAAGAAAGAAAGAAATGAAGGAAGAAAAGAAAGAAAGAAATGAAGGAAGAAAAGAAAGAAATGAAAGAAAAAAGAAAGAAAGAAATGAAAGAAGAAAAGAAAGAAAGAAATGAAGGAAAAAAGAAAGAAAGAAATGAAGGAAGAAAAGAAGGAAAGAAATGAAAGAAAAAAGAAAGAAAGAAATGAAAGAAGAAAAGAAAGAAAGAAATGAAAGAAAAAAAAGAAAGAAAGAAATGAAGGAATAAAAGAAGAGAAAGAAAATGAAAGAAAAAAGAAAGAAAGAAATGAAAGAAGAAAAGAAAGAAAGAAATGAAGGAAGAAAAGAAAGAAAGAAATGAAAGAAGAAAAGAAAGAAAGAAATGAAGGAAGAAAAGAAAGAAAGAAATGAAAGAAGAAAAGAAAGAAAGAAATGAAAGAAGAAAAGAAAGAAAGAAATGAAAGAAGAAAAGAAAGAAAGAAATGAAGGAAGAAAAGAAAGAAAGAAATGAAGGAAGAATGTTAATAATAGAAATTCAAAGAAACTATTTAGATACAACTATAGTGATGCTGTTGAATATTACTGGCAACAGACGCCTTCGAATAACACTCGCACTAATAATACTTACTCGATAAGTAACCACCGAATAGTAATCCATCTAGTGATCAGTATAAAGAATAGTATAGAGAATGGTATAAAGAATAGTATAGAGAAGAGCGATCCGTATAGTAATAGAAGATAGTGTATAAAAAGAGATCAATTAGACGCCACACTAATTCCCATATATGCATTACCTTTACTATCACGTGAGCTACTTATTCTAAATGGGCTCGCTGTGTTCAACTCTATTGTCGACAGTGACACTTTTATTTTCCTATACAACAATTTATATGCCTGTATGAAAGAGAGAAAATGATTTGAAAATCATTGGCGAAAGTAAAACGTTTTCTTAAAGAGTAACAGAAAGAAAACCATACCTCAGGCACACATACAAATGAAATGAAGATTAAAAGTAAAATCACAAGGGCCGATAAACATTCGATGTAAGATTACCGGAAGGAGCGAAAATAAAACTTTGAAGGAAAGGAAAAGAAAAGAAAACTACGGAAGAGTAGGCAAACATATTCATTCAAGAATATAGAACGGAAAGTGTTTTTTGGCATAGAGAGAAAAAGAATAATTTTAAAATGGAAAAAATGATGATGTAACTTTTCTTCATCCTCATTTTATCTCTTCTTCCTCCTCTGTGTAGTACTTTTACAAATACTAATGCTACTACTACTACTACTACTACTACTACTACTACTAATAATAATAATAATAATAATAATAATAATAATGATAATAATAAAGGCCTCGATATTACACAAAGCGTATCTGTCTTGGCTTTTGAATAATTCGGTAGAGTAATGGATAGCTGCTCGGACTGAGGAATCGGAGAGCCGTGTTTGAACTCCAGTCGAATCCATTACATTCATTTATGTGTTAATACCCTTGGGAGGGGTATGAATCCTCTTCTTCTCCCCGGGTTCTACAGCTTTGCTTGGCAACCGGTCTACCGCAGAAAGAAATCTTAGCCTACTACGGGAAAAATCTGCTCATATATCGAAAGATACATGATAACCTAAGCACATAACTGACTGACTAAATGGTGTGATTTTACACACCTTTAGTATTGGTGAATTAAGACTACCGTGAATACCTCGTTCGGTAACATATATTTGCTTACGGTAGGTCCTATAGGTGGGGGTGACGCAATTTGCATCACTATCCATGATCGTGCCTAGTAGTGGAGTATCAAGTCTTGGTGTCGAGCGGGTCATATATTTTTAAAATTTGAAGGATTAGGCAATGCAGTTAACTTTGAAGACAAATATAGACATTTGGAAAGACTCTGGGCGACATATTGGATTTTTTTTTTGTTTCTGCTTTTATCTGTGTACCCACCAAGAAAAACTGAGCACTGCTTTTTTGAAAATCTCTCACCCTATGTCGCAAATTTATATACAGTGTACCCGGATATAAGAGACCCGGATATAAGAGAGATTTTCTCTGGTCCCAAAGTGTTCCCATACTTACTTAAACAAAATAGACCAAACCCGGATATAAGGGAAAACCGGATATAAGGGAAAACCGGATATAAGAGACTTCTTCTCCGATCCCGACAACTCTCTTATATCCGGGTTACACTGTACAATGAATTTGCGTTGCATGCTCTTATCAAGCAGGGTAGCATAGTACGTATATTCGGCTTAATTTATATGTACCCCAGTGACGTTAGTGGGTTGTTTCTAACGTCTCCACCCAAACTTAGCATTTATTATTTATCGTTTTTGTTATGGGAACTTACCCATAATAAGAATGGACTATTCCTGACATTATAAATACTGCGCCTCTCAAGAGCTATCGGGGCATTGTAAGACTAGGAGAGATAATTGAGAGCATATTGTAAGGACATTGGAATAGTGATACGTGTCGAGACAACATAGTTCACTCTAACCAAATCTGATAGTCATTATTAATACTTCTACTTCTTTGTATTATATTTCTGTTGTAATATATCTTTGTATTCCATACCTGTATTCGTGTTATTCTTTCATTGATTCTAACCTTGGACCATCACCGTGGTCCAAGGAACTTGAACCATAACAGTTTTATTCCTCAATAACTATAGATAGGTTTAAGTGTAGATAGGTTTACCTATCGTCCAGTTCACATGCATTGTCGGGCTTTTGAACCAGAGTACATGTTTATACATTGTTTCCTGTTTAGGATTGGATTTCTTGTTCCTGCTGAATAATACGGCAGCTCTATAATTCTAACACTTCTACCTAAACTTGAAATTGTATTTATTTATTTATTTATTATTTATTGTAGAAGATATTTCGGTTCACATTTCTCACCCTTATTTTAGACATTTTATACGTTGTTCATTCTTCAGGATTTTTTTCCGGTTCTATCTAAAGTCTTATTATTCTCTTTCACTCCCAGTAGCATCTTGCATCTTTGTGGCATTAACGCCTTCCTTGGTGTCGGATTGATTTATTTTTAATTAGTGCCAACGAAAATATCCAGTAGCATGCTATTCTGAAACGGCGTAAGCTCTTTTGACTGTAAAGGTTAATAATATTGATCCTACAAACCGTACTTTCTGGCAAAATCCAAAACACCATAAGTATTTGGATTGGGATGCTTTGCAGAAGGATTCATCTTTGAGTACGGAACTAGTATCCTAAAAACAATATCTTTAGAAACGTCCGCGGTATAACAAATGTAATTTATTTTAAAAGATAGATAACAAAGATACCGAAAAAGTAAAAATTATACATTTGATTCACTTGCTTACACTTTCGTCCGTGTGTCCTCCTTCATTAGTCCTATCTCCTTTCATATTTATATTGACTTTGAAAAACATTCACAGGACCTTAGTAAATATACATGAAGAAAATACAACGTTTTATGCGTACACCTCCACATGTCTAGATGACCAGAGCTTTGCTGATCATCTATTTTCTGACCAGAAGTCTCAGGTGGATAGGAGAAAAATCCCTTGCATCATACAACAACTCCACACCAATCTGGTACGATTACATCACTACAGGGTAGGGATTACGTTTTCTCAAGATATGATGAATAACCATACCCTCAATAAAGCTCTTAGTCTGACTGATCTACTGGGATTAAAGTTCTCAAGTGGAAATCGGATATAATAGGAATCGCAAAGATGCTGAAAAAATTTTCTGATCTTTGTACCACTTGGGAAAAAAACCTGCTTCCTTTAAATTACTCCATTATTACAAGAGGCAGATCAAACCAAAAATTGATTATTGCTGCTAGATCTGGACCGGAGCTGCAAAGTCATTAAATTATAATGTTGACAGAATGGAAGAGAGTTTGCAGACCCGTGTGGGTTATAATTTATTGTACCCCCTAAAACCTCTTAATCGACGAAATATTTGTACATTCTCACTAATCTATCGTTTTTCAGGCGTTTCTTCATTCCATCAGCCGAAACTTTAACAATTAGAACACACCATTCCGTTTCCAAGGAATCGACTCGGCCTCATTCACATGTAATTTCATTTCTAAGAAAGTTCCTCTCACACAGCATGCGAAAACATGAAATCAATCTTAACCTCTTCATGTCTTGACTCAAGACTTATCAATTCTAAGTAAAGTTTTTAATCATTTCACCCCCAAATAAGGCAATAAAGTCACTAAGCAGAAAGTGGTTAATGAATGTCAAAGAATGGTAGATGTCTTGTTAATCTTTCTCTATAAGTATCTGTCTATATTTCTGAGATGACGTATTATGTACATTATTTAGATTATTTGGACTATTGTCCTCATCTTTGTCGCCATATTTATTACTACGTTTCGGCCTTTCAGTATCTGTCTATATTTCTGAGAGGATGTATTATGTACATTATCTACATTATTCGAACTATTGTCCTCATGTTTGTCGCCATATTTATTACAACGTTTCGGCCGTTGTACGCTCCGGCCTTCTTCAGGTGGTTGGAATGTCGAACTTAACCCTTTATTTCGCTCACTTGGGGAGACTCTTTTAGTTCCACGTGCCATGTTTAATAGATATCAGTTATATCCTGTTATCCACAAACATACATATATATGCACATACATACATATCTACATATAAACATATACATATATACGTACATACATATAAATATAACGACATTCAACCAAATACATATATAAACGCACATACATATACATACATAAACATGCATCCAAATACATGCACACACCCATATACATATACCCTAACATACATATATAAACACATTCATACAAACAGAAATATACGTAAATATATTGTAGCGTCTGTTCTAACGTAATTTCAACGAAGAAATAAATTGAATAACATATGTATTTTTTCTTTTCACCTCAGTAATTTTATAGTTTTTAAGCTTAAGAGGTGATTAAATTTGGATTTTAAAATTGGGAGTTTTTAATTTTCATATCAAATTTTATCATATAATTTAATAATTATTGGTTAGAAAAAAATATTTTTTAATATTACCCGAATTTTAAAGATCTGAATAGCTATTATAACATTTCGTTGTCAAGCTTTTGAATCTTACTATACTTGGGTTTTGATTGGTCATTCTAGCTTTTGTAACAATGTTTTCCCCTAGCGAAGGATCGTTAATTAATTTAAAACTTTTAAAACCATTTATTTTATATTCAACATCATCCCTTGATAAGACACCGTGGGTGTTGAAACAAAATGGCTATTTTTGTAGTGATTTTATAACATATTTATGTTGTAATTTTTTAATAAAAATAGTTATATATATATATATATATATATATATATATATATATATATATATATATATAATTGAAAGGAACGATGTTGCTCGTGTGATTCTTATAATATGAAGTTTTAATAGTCCGATTTACAATCCATCAAAGAAACAACAAAAATTTCCTTGTCACTTTGACCATCCGTTCCATATCATTGATCACATCGAATGCGTGCTTTTAACGTCTTCATTTAACAGCCGAAAAGTTGCAGACCGTTGTTGAAATATGTTTTCAAAATAAAATCTCAAATTGAAGAATTAAACAACGATTTGGGTGTACTCAGAAAATATTGGGATAATTTGCTCCTGTTAAGGTTGAGCACTTTTTACCATTAATCTATACTACGGACAATAGTAAAAAAATAAAAAATAAAAAAAAAATAATAATAATCCCTTACTATAAAGGTAATTTACATTAACCAGAAAAAAGGCTTAGACACAAGCGTCTATCTTTTTAATTTTTAATTTTAATGTAACTATAACAACAAAAACATTTCGATTTCATTTTTGCCTTGAAAAAGTCGGAAGACCAAACGCGTCGGCAAAATGTCAACATGTTTCCTTAATACTGCAAAATCCTACTACTACTTTGATCCGAATTAGTCATAATTGGAGAGGATATGGATGACATCAGGCAAGATCGAGTTGCTTGCATTCAATTTGATGATAAAAAAATCTAACATAAACTGCTACAGGGGAGAAAATGTGAAAAAGCGTAAAAATACATCGGCCGGATCTATTTTCACTTAAATTGTGTGCGCAAAAGAAAATAGTCTCTTATTTCCATTTT